GTCATCGCATCACGCTCATTAGAGTGAGCACCAAAGGCAAGTCAGATAGTAGACCAGAGATCGGTCTACCAAAAAGTTATCAAACAAATATTGTGCATTATCTGTGTGTAAAACGGGCCCTTAAAGCATGATCTACTACTCTCACTCCCTGGTTTTGTTTTTGGACGTCCGGGGTTTGTCTTTTGAGGAAGGGGTACTGTCATGGATTAGATTTATTTCCTGTTTTATTTTGTAATTTGTTAACCCTTGTGTCTCCTTTAGTTGTACTTCCTGTTTCCTGATTACCTGCCCTGCCCTCATGTGTATCATCTGTGTCTTGTACAGTCTTGTATTTAACCCTGTTCAATTCCTGTTCCGTCATTGTCATCCCACGTCTGCTTTAGTTCTCGTCGTTATTCTTTGTTTGGTTACTTTTAGTGTTTTCTCTGAATTTTGTTTTGTTAGCCATTATTTTTGCAGTTCTTTACTTTGGGCTCATTTCCTTTTGCCAACGTGATGGTAAGATAACGGCAAAAAAAAGAAGAGGAATGTCTTTTTTAGATTGTGCGGATTGTGATGGCTGCTTGGGGGAAGCTCCAGTGATGATCTTGGTTCAAACCTCTCATTTTCAACGGATGTGGGTTCGCAGTTCTTGGGGATTGTGTCTCCGCATGATTACGGCCCGTGTGGTGAAGGATGAGGCCTGGATGCTCTTGTGTTAACTTCAGTTTAAGAGTGACCCATTACACTAACGGCATGTAATAAGGATGAGTTTAACTTTAACAAAAGTTGCTTCAAAGTGTTATGAAATCTCACATTCCCCCTTCTGGTCACACGTGTGACCATCAGGATCGATAAACAGCAACATAACATCATAACTCAATACTTAAACTCGGTACTTCACTCGGAATACTTCCAAAAACTCAGAACACGGAATACTTCAAAAACTCATAAAACATGGTCAGATCTTTCATAAAACTTGTCAACAATCTTCAGTAAAATATCAAACTTCATCAGTCGATGGTGGTTCCAGATATTGCTTTGAAAACAGTCTTTCCCACTTCTCCGTTTTGATTTCTTCAGGCTGCATTTGTTGTGTCAAGCCATGAATTCTTCTGTGACGTGTCTTTCAATCACACGTTTCAGCTTTAGTGTCCAGATTCAGCAATTCAATTCAGTCCAAATTATGTTCAAATTCAGAAATCCAATTGTTCCAAATTATGTCCAAATGATGTCCATGCAAAAGAGGACGATGGTATTGTCCATGTCTCAGCAGCTCACAGCCTGAGTGGAATCAGGGGCTGTGCAGATTGTCCAAGTGTGCTGGTCCAGATGCATGGTTTCTCTTGAGGTTTCTCAGTTTTGGCTTGAAAAAAAACAAACACATTTTTTGTAAATGTTCTGGTAGATGTTACAGACAATGCCCGCATCCTTCCACCACCTGAAGAACATCACAAAGTCTGGGATCGTGTCTTTCATTCAGACAGAAGGCATTGTCAATGGTAGAGACAGCACGAACACAAACACGACAGAATGCAAGTGTATTATACAGCATGGAGGAATGCAGTCCTCCAATCAGCAGCTTCCGCGGTGCCATGTAGCTTGGCCTTCAGAAGTCAAAACAAGGGAAAAGTACTGGCTCGTGCAAGGAGAAGACTGATCAGAGATGCAGCCAAGAGGCCCATGATCACTCTGGATGAACTGCATTCCAGGTGTTAGAATCGCCAAGTCAAAGTCCAGACCTGAATCCAATCGAGAATCTGTGGAAAGAGCTGAAGACTGCTGTTCACACACGCTCTCCATCCAACCTCACTGAGCTCAAGCTGTTTTGCAAGGAAGAACGGGCAAGAATTCCAGTCTCTCGATGTGCAAAACTGAGACATACCCCAAGGGACTTGCGCCACCTTTTGCTGCAATTACAGCTAATTGCAGCAAAAGGTGGCGCTACAAAGTATTTGCGCAAGGGGGCCGAATAATATTGCACGCCCCACTTTTCAGTTTTTTATTTGTTAAAGAAGTTTAAATTATCCAATAAATTTCGTTCCACTTCACGATTGTGTCCCACTTGTTGTTGATTCTTGACAAAAATATTATTTTTATATCTTTATGTTTGAAGCCTGAAATGTGGCGAAATGTTGAAAGTAAGTTAGTAAGTAAGTTTTTTATTTATATACCGCCTTTTCACTGCAGATCAGAGTCTCAAAGCGGTTTACAATTGTTAATTTTGGGCATTTGTCTCTCACTCCACACAGAGGAGCAGGGTCGCCAGTACAGAAGGCGCATGCTAGAACTATTGGACATATTTTTAGTGGTAGGGGAAACCGGAGTACCCGGAGGAAACCTACGCAGACACGGGGAGATCGTGCAAACTCCACTCAGAAAGGCCCTGGTCCGACCGGGATTTGAACCCAGGACCTTCTTGCTGAGAGGCGAGAGTGCTATCCACTCAGCCACCGTGCCGCCCAAAGGTTCCCAAAGGTGCCGAAAGGTTCAGGGGGGCCGAATACTTTCGCAAGGCACTGTATATCAAACCATACAATGCTGTCTTCATGTTCTTAAATGTTAAATGCACTTGGAAGAAAGAGCCTTGTGAGTCATTATTTGACTCCTTGAGCTGAGTCTTCTCTTTTTCCCTTCTGTCTCAAAAGCCGCTCTAAGGATGTGACAGAGGCCAAACATTTATGCATGAGAGAAATGTTGTGCATCCCACAGTAGATGTCATAATTGCACACATTACAGGTTTGTACCAAGATGAGCACTCAGACAAGATAATCAAACATTAAACAAGATAAATATCTATTATTTAAGAGAATAAATAATAAACTCTAGTCTCTGTGCCTATGAATATTAACATCAGCTAAGACTTATTGAAGTCTTAGCTGAGCCATTGTGTTTCAACTCATTGCACTTTGAGACAGTATACTTTCCTCAATTCAAGTACATTATGCAGTATAGTCAGGGTTTCAGAGTAGTATTGTATAGTATTATAGTAATTATTAATTTCAAACATTATGTACTCAACAATAAACAAACCCGTCTCCCTCCGATGAAACTCAGAAAAATGAGAATATTGTTCAGATATTATATCTGATGAATATCATCCAGAAGCTTTTAAAAATACATTTCTGTAATTAAACTTGAAATGTAAATCCACGTTCTAGCCTCATTACATGCAAAGAGACATGAGTGTATGTGTTCGTTTTCATTTTGATCATGCTTGCGTGAATATAGATCTGCTTATTCTAATCATTTTTAAACTGTATTTCTGTTTTTTTATGAGGAAATATTCACACATTTGAAATAATAAAATAAGATTCTAAATATTGTTTTAAATATGTTTTATTTTGTTTTTTTACAATCTGAGAAAAAATATCATTATAATGAGTCATAGAATTGTTCCACATTGTAAGTTTAATAACAGAAGTAAATGGACTTTGTCTATAATATCAAATCTTTGAAGTTGTACACAAGAAAATATATAATATAAAGAATATATAAAATATAAACACACACACACACACACACTGGAGAAAATAAAGAAGGTTTTTATTCTCGGAGCAAGAGTGGTTTTTGAAGATGCTTTGGGCTGTTTAATAACAAATTGGCAAGCAACTTTGCAAAACGTTCTTAATTGAAAGAATAATTGTGTTACATGTGTTGGAAGAATTCAAACATTTGGTGGTCTCTTAAATTGTCTGGTTCTGTCCATGTTTGACTGCTTTGGTTTCAATCAATCCCTCATTATTCTGGCTTCTTCTTTTGGGGGGAAGTGCAGCTCTGTAAGTACAATGGAGAGAGAGGAACCAACGAGTCAAAGCAAACAAAAGCACTGAATGAACGACATCATGAACGATTAAGCAAACCTCTGCTTTACTTCCTACACGTTTAGAAAATTATCTTGCTTTTTTTAATAAACTCGTGCGTTTATTGGTTTTAAACTATAATTTAGATTTACAACAGGTGTCATACCGTCACAATGAGTCACATTAGACAAGAAGACATATTAGGCTGGATTTGTTTCAAGATCATGTTTCAAACTTGTTCCCCAATCAAAACAGGCATGAAGTTGTTTTAGCTCCGCCCACACTGATACTTCTGTCTAAACTCTTACACTCTTACGTGATGTTTTGAGCTGTTTTCTGCCTTTTAGAACAAAAGTATGGCCTCCATTTAGTTTTTTTAGTTAGTTTTTAATTGTTTCATTATTAATTTATCCTACCAGATCTTAGATGCTAACCCAGGGCAAGGCCTGGTTAGTACTGTGATGGGAGACCCCTGAGAACACCAGGTGTCACAATGGGGTGACTGTAAAGTGTCAGACTGGTGTTGTGTCTTTAGCCACAGAGTGTGTGCATGTGTGCGTGTGTGTGTGTGTGTGTGTGTGTGTGTGTGTGTGTGTGTGTGTGTGTGTGTGTGTGTGTGTGTGTGTGTGTGTGTGCGTGTGCGTGTGCGTGTGCGTGTGCGTGTGCGTGCGCGTGTGTGTGTGTGTGTGTGTATGTGTGTATACCTTCTCGTTGCTTGTGCTTCACAGACAGAAGGTGCTGGGTTCTGTTCCCCTCCAGACAGAACTTTTCTGTGGGGAGTTGTATGTTCTCCCTGTCTGTGTAGGTTTCCTCCAAGTGCTCTGGTTTCCCCTACCACTAAAACATGAACAATAGTTCAGGGTGAATGAGTGTCACAAAAGTATAACATTGAAATAGAGAAAAAATAAATATATACTTGAATGTATACATCTGTATCTGTAATACCCTCTAGTTAAAGAATATTAGGGTAATAAGTCATTAGCTCTAAGGTTTCAAATGTTCATAGTGATGAAACTATTACTATACATGTTAGTAGCATGTGATAGTGACTGAGGACACATTTGGTGACATATTTCACATCTATTTCAAATTATTGCACAAATGCGAGGTCGGGGCTGCAGTGTTCATCAGTCTTCATTGTTGTACACTCTTTTCTTTAAATAATACTAATAGAAATTATTAAATGTTAATCATCTGTTTGTTTTTTTTCTGCTGTAGGAGCTGGCGGTGGGAGGCGAATCCATCATGTTGAAGACCTAAGAAACATTTGTGCTGCTCAGGGCGTCCACAGAGCCCTCCACCCATGACTTTCAACAGCGTAAGACTTACCAACACCTTACAATAATAATGATGATACTGTTCTGATTATGTTCCTGTGAAGGGACCATAGAAAACACTTCTGGGTCCAGAAAAAGCTATCTCTAAACAACACCTTTTGTGTTGACATTGAATTGTAGTTGTTGACATCAGCTTAGGATAGTTAGCATGTTGTTAAATAACATAGTTCATAATTCCTCTTATTATTTTCATCCAACTGTTTATTTATTTCTTTTTACGAAACAGACCAAGGGCAAGTTAAGATGTAAAATGAGACTATTAACTTTGCAAATTCATGTTTTAGAATGTGAAGTACACTTTCCAGTAAAGAAATTATGATGTTGCATGTATCAAATGTAAATACTTGCCAAAATTAATGTATGGGTATCACATTTGTTTATGTAATCTTATCTTATTCTAAAAGACAGAAAAGTGCTCTGAGTGGTACAATCACATTACTATTACATGAGTGAGACAGGAGCTTTTAGACAGAACGGGCGGAGTTACATGGTTATGCTAGAAGTTCTTGATATTAGCACGGATGGACCTTAAAACAACCACAGTTCCAGTGTTGGGCATGTTACTTTGAAAAAGTAATTAGTTTTAGTTACTAGTTACTTCTCCCAAAAAGTAACTGAGTTACTATGAGTTACTCCACTATAAAAGTAACTAGCTACCAGTAAAAGTAACCATTGCCTTTTTAGTTCCTCGCCCCTGTAACCCCACCTTCTCAGAGCGTGTTTAGCTACCATACTGTATATGCATATGCTAACACAAGACATGGACAAATGTTTCGATCTGGAACATAATGTGCACTCGACGTGCACATTTTTACCTTTAACTTCGTTGAGTTTGAAATAGTGCCGATACTTCCATCTAGAAAAGGCTGTTTTGCTGCTGGGGTCCTCTCTCTCTATCACACCCGCCACTCTGAATGCAGAAACACCCACCTACCCAATTTCTCTGATTGGCTGAAGATGTAACTTACTTACTATACATTAGCCAATAAGTGCTGAGAGGTTATTTCATCCTCCCTTCTCTCATGACAACACGCGCATGAGTCCTATCATGAAGTTAAAAAAAAAGTTAAAAAAAAGTGCGACTTGAGTAACGTGGAGTAACGGAGTGTCGGCAATGATAATGGATTACTGGATAATGGATTACTCAGTAACGAGATTACCCGTTAGTGTAAAAGTAACGGTGTTTGTAACACTGTTTGTTTCAATGCCGTTATTCCCATCACTGCCCAGGTCTGTGACCGATGAGAACAATGTTGTAAGTTGGTCCAAAAAGTCCAAAAACTTCAAGAAAGAAACTGAAACTTCTCCCGTGACACTGTACTTGTGTGTTCTTCTTGCAGGATCCAGACTGGACTGGTGTGCTTCAGATTCTGTAATGGAATATCGTGGTGAGTGGCCTGCTGTGGTTTGTTTAAGTGCATCGTGTGTGAAGCGGATCCACTCATTTAGCTGTACATCCAGCGTTTACGAGATCAGTGCACTTTTTACAGCCCAAGAAGTGCCATACATCATCTAACCTCAACCGACACTTCCCCGGCTCTCAGCGGCTCTCAGTGGCTTGGAGCTTTCTCTGGCTCTATTTGTGAAGTGTGGGACTACGAGGAAACTTTGGTCCCAGCAGCATGTGGCCCCTGAAATCTCAAGGACTTTTTGCTTTGTTTTGTAAACTTGGAAAATATTTAATTCTAAGTCAGTCTATTAAAGCTGGGTTACTTAACGTTTTTGTTTTCATAAATAATACATTGTGTTTATCTCAACAGACAGTTTATCTCAACAGTAACATAGAAACAAATGTGAATCATACATTTTGCTTAGAAGGATTAAGAAAGAGCCCAAATTGACTCTGATTGGCAAAGAGGTCAGCGAGGGAGGTCCTCTCTTTTTCACTTTTCTGTCTGAAAAAGGCGAGCTAACATGTGTGTGACAGAGACCAAAATACATGCATGTGAAAGCTGTTTTAGAGCCATAAATTAGTTTCAGGGATATTATTACATAGTTTGAGAGTTCAATTCAATTAATTTTTTTCTTGTATAACCATAAATCACAACAGGAATTATTTCGGAGGACTTGGCACAAACGTTGAATTCGCCAACACAGGTCAGAGAATCAACAAACAACAGCTCAAACACAAGAAATAAAACAGAAAACACATGGGTAGATAAGTATTTTTAAATGTCCATAAAGATGTGTGAAATGCATGCAAAAACTGATGGTAGAAGCTGTTTTAGAGCCAGAAACTAGTTACACGGATTGTATATTACATAGTTTGATAGTTTGAAACTATGTGATACACATGGCTTCCTTCACCTCTTTTGGGAACTACACAGATGCTACATGTGCATGAAATGGCTGATATTAGTATGAGTAAGTTTGTGATCATTTGTACGCAGTATGTTGTGTTGCTCAAAGGTGCCCTCAGTCAGCAGCTTGTGATTTGTTGAGAACTCTCGAGTGGAGCTCAACAATGAAGCTAGCTTATGTTGCCAAACGCTTTGAAAAACTTCAGTCAAACTCTACATAATGCACAAATACTTTGATTGAAGAATTGTAAAGAAGTATTTCTTCCAGGAGGTAATCGGAACAAAACAAAAGAGTTCATGTTTGGCCAAGAGGAGGGTGTGTGGATGAAAGGGAGTTGTGCTCTGAGATTGTGTGAGGGAGCGATCAGTGGGAGTGGACACAGAGCTGTGAGAGAAAACAGCTGCTCTGCTGCAGACTGGAGCATGTCCTGAGAAGTGGAGGTGGTCCCAAGACAGCGGACAGAAGAGAACAAAGAGGACTGTGGACAGAGGAGGACTCACAAGGACAGGGGACGGAGGAGACCAAAGAGGACGGGGACAGAGGAGTGAGGAAGACAGGAGACAAAGGAGGGCCGTTGAGGACTGTGGACAGAAGAGACCAAGAAGGGACTGAAGAAACTAAAGAGGATAGAGAAGAACAGAGGCCCTTCGGGGCTGTACCATGGGACAGAGTCTGTCTGTGGAAACCTCACGCCAGGATCCACAGCAGCACAACTGTCAAGGTGAGTTTTTTTAATCCCTCCAGACCACCAGAGGGCAGTGTCTATATTATCACCACGTGTGTCACACTTGTGACTAACAGCGGGTCAGAGGGCATCTACACTGGCGTCAGGGTGAATCTTCTGGTAGAGTTCTGAGGGACACAGGAATACCCTCTGGTGTCATAGTTACAGTATCAAACTGTTTAACAGCTCAGTGAGCTCTGAGAATGTCATCTGTAGGTGTCACGATGGAATCCACCACTTTCACAAATAAGATGATGGTTTTGAAACTTCAGACATGTTGTGTTCAGATTCTTTTTTATTGTTTGCATCTATTCTTCAGGAGAAATAGGACCAACACAATGTTTTTTCTTGAACACTATAACCTCTTTCTATTGTACATGAATCAGATTAAGTTTGATAATCTGTTCTGGCATTTTGAGTGTTATAATGAGGGTGAAGGTGTTTCCCAAGACTCTGCTCTCTCGTTATATAACAATCTCTTGAAGTGAGTGACCTGAACCTGGACCTGGTCTGGGAGAGACACAACAGTGGGCAGGGCTTATAACAGCCACGTCATTGGCCCTCACCCCCAGTTTCCTCTTGTTATCGCTGCTGCACTGATTACATTAGGCTGTTCTGTTTTCGCTTTGGGAGACTGATACTGGGAGCTCAGTTTTTCACCCAGGACATGTTCTGAAAGTAGAGTGGCATAAACTTGAACCAAATGCCATGCATATGGTCAAACATCCCCAAAATATATCGAATGTTGGTCTGGAACTGAATTCTAAAGAAAAGAAAAGCTCCTTAAAACAATTGATATCACACACATCCCCCGCCCCTTCTGTCTTTGCTTTATTATTAAACTTAAATCCTTCAAAGTTTTCCAGTAAGTAATTTACAACTGTGTGTCTTATACACTGTTAGATTTGCATTCAAAAGGCAGAATGTATGAATGTAAATACATTTCTGTGATTTGCAATCACATGTCTGTGGTTGAAGCTGGTAATTTTCAAATTTGGAAAAAAAACAGAACAAGTTCTACATCTGGTGGTCACATAGCGAGTCACATGTAGAAGGCACCATTTACTTTAGATCATACTTGTTTCACAATAAATAGACAAAATAAATAGTCTTATTAATGCTTAATCCATATTTAACATAGTATTTCACATTCTATTACATGAAATAGTTGCAATAGAAGTAAATATTCTCAAGCTTATCTCTAAGGCCCAATGTTGATACAATTATTTGTGTGTATTTTTCCAGTTTTTGCCAGTTTTTACCAGCGTCCTTCCCGCTTCTGTGCCAGAGGAAGCACTGGCCTTTGTTGCTCACAGCAGCAGGGTGGGGGGCTGTTTCCTTCGTGTTTCTCCCCAAACCCTGCACTCTTTTTTTTCATTTTTTCTCTCATTTACACTCACATATTTGGCACCGCAGTGTGTAGCCTCCACACGGCAAACATTTCTTCTCACTCCAGATGAAACAAAGCCGCGTTCGGATCTTTTGTGGGAAAACCATTCTTGGACTTGGACTCTGTGATACTGGAGCTGCGTACTTTTATGGAGCCTTGAAACTAGACAGAGGACTGCAGGCAGAGGATTGCAAAGAATAATTAAATAAAAGAACAATATGTAAGACACATTTTTCTGTGAAGCATGGTTGTTGGAAAGAAATAGCCCAGAATTCAGGAGCTCATGTAATTCTGCTGCTTCGGCATCTAAATAGTTATATTTGAGGGGAGAGCTGTGCAGTGTGAAAACATTTTGGAAGGAAGATACAGCCACAGAGAAAGAGCCCTTTTGTGCACCCATCTACATTAGCGGTAATGGATTTATTTGCATCAATTCCAGAGCTTTTTGTACCTAAACTTTGATGATGTCATAGTATGCTTTCCCTATGTTGGCAGTAGACTGAGGGCTTGCACAGTTAGAATTTCTCCTGCTTCACCGACCTCAGCTGAGGCTCCCTGTCAGTCCTGTTTGCATGTGGTCTGTTAGTTGCTTTCTCAAAGTGTATGGAGAGAAAAACAGCTCTGCATTCGTCCCATGGTCCTCCTCCTTCATGGGCTGCTGCTGCAAGTCGCACCACCATGGAAGCTGGACCCCGAGCACGCTTCTGCAAGGTATCACTTCTCAAGAAACAGAAACAGTGACAACGTAGTTAGTTAGTAAGTTAATAAGAGCTTGAAGGACCTCCTTTTTTCTTGATGTCAATGCAATGTGACAATTTGAAAGACAGGATTCAACAATCTCTTTTACTTAGACGACCCATTCTGTAAAACTATGTTACCTCTGCCAGAGTTTGGTCCTCCCGCACTTGCAACACTATGAAAAATCCTCAGACCATGACTTCATTGACAGAAGTTGTTTTTCTCTTCTCATCTTTCATGTAATACAAACATTTTCTACTAACTTATTTCACATTCTAAAACATAATATGAAAATTAACACGAACAATGCATGAAATATGTTCTTGAAGCTGAGTACCTAACTTTCAAACCAGAAAACCATTGAACTTGCAATAATTATGTCTATAGTTCCTGGCACTAAAACAGTTTTGGTCTCTCATCTTTTTATGCATGTAAAATGGCCTTTGTCACATCTTTTAGATAAGCTTTTTCAGCCATAAAAGTGAAAAATAGAAGACCACCCTCGCTCAGCCAATCCTCTCTCAGTTTTCTAATAAGATAAAAACAGCATGGTTATGGTCTGATTTTCTAAAAACATTTTACTTTTACAAGACTCTTTCGGGCGGGACAAAAAAATGATGTCGTGTTAATTAAATAACCCTAGCTTTAGAATATAACCAATTTCTCATTTAGAATAAGAAATAATAGCTCTGCTGCTTGTTGTAAGAATAAAACTTGTTTGCAGGGTGTCTTTGTAATGCTATTGTTATAGTCTTTTAAAATAAGACTTCAGCTTTAGGTGGATGTTGACAGTAGCTCTTGGCTTCAGAATAATTGCAGTTCAAAGATTTGTCCTTCAGCTGCAGAATAGTGTCCGTGTATCCGGTGTCAGCATGAACTACTGCTGAAGTGTCCTTTTGCACACAGAGGTGTGCCAGCTCCATGCTGCTTCAAACACTCTCCAGCTCAAATAAAAATAGCTTTTTTTGGGCTGATAATGTTTTTACTATTGTTGTTTTGATGTTTCTCTACTCAACTTAAACATTAACTCCTACTGTCATGCTCATAAGTTTACATATATTTGCAGGATGTAGTATTTCTAATCCATTTTTAGATTTTTAGGCCTGTCTCTGAAGCCTGATATGAAACTGGTGAAAACATGAATGAATGATGGTGGCGGCCTTGCATCTGTCAGTCTGGCTTTAAAAGAGTACCCTACCACCACTGTGTGTGCAGTAAAAAAGTACTTTGGGCACAATTTAGGCACTCATATGAATGCTTACTTACTTTTAATATTAAGTTAGTAATTTATTGTGCAACCCAAACTGGTTACTTGAAAGCCTAAAATCACCAGGGTGTGTATCCATTTGATTGTGACGATTTGGAATTTCATCATGATTTCATTGTGATTTAAGTGCTATACAACCAGGCCTTTGGGCCTGAAGGTTGTGGGTTCAAGCCCACCATAAGACCTACTTCACGACTCCCACTGATGACTGCTGTCGTCGTGTCCTTGGGCAAGACACTTAACCCCACTTTGCCTGAAGCCCCCACTGAAAGATCTCAGCTCCTGTGGACTCACCACCTGCAGGAGGATCAGTGAGGGGCTGGTGCTAAGTGTACTGGGTGCAGCTCTGACTGCCACCCCCCCCGACCCAGAAATGGATTAAGGGGAAGAAAATGGATGGATGGATGGACAACCACCTGCATTATCCTTTGCATTCTATGAAAAATAGCCATGAAATAGAAAATTATTTCTTATGAAGACAACCTTGAATGACAGCTGTATGAATGTAGGCGCAAACAAACAAACAGCAGAATTCACTGTGTGTGACTATTTGTGTGGTAGTCTGACTGAGTGTGTGTGGTGTGATTGACTGTGGCTGTGTGTGACAGTGTGCAAGTATATGTTACAGTGTGTGACTGTATTTGACTCTATTGTATGATTGTGTTTGCGAGTGTGTGTGGATGAGAGTGTAGCCGCTCCTGGCGCTGGGATACTCTATGTGTGAACTAAAGTGGATGTGTTAAAGATGAATGTTTCACTAAATATTGTGTCTAGTGAGCAGAGCAGGTGCAGCCTTGGAAAAGGAGAGTTTAGTTCTGAGTGCTCAAGCACGACTCAAAGTGGCTGTAAAAGGTTTGGTCTGTTGATTGTGTGCTTGTGTGTCGAGACGTTAGCGTCACATCACGTCTCTCACACCTGATTAGACCAGGATAAAACCAAGCCAAAGAATGCGGGCATGAGAGACCAGCTCTGGCCTAGCTCCATAAGTTATGTGTAAAGGAGTTATGTGTACCAAAGCACACTGTGTCCCTGTAAACTAAGCTCAGGAGAGAAGTGCTTTTATTGAATCAAACATGAGCTTCATTTTGAAATGTTCCAATTTTTGTTTCAGATGATGATGCTGAGCAGCACCACAGCATTATGGTGGGAGAAGGAGGCCACACGCGGGACAGTACGCCAAAACGAAAGACCAAATTCTCCACTCTTGGAAAGATCTTCAAGCCCTGGAAGTGGCGCAAGAAGAAAAGCAGCGACAAGTTCCAGGAGACCTCTGAGGGTTTGTCCTTTTAATCTTTATACCCAATCAATCAATCAACATTTATTTGTAGAGCGCCTTTCTAACAGGGCAACGCAAAGCGCCCCACAACCCATATCACATCATGCATAAATCATCAAAAATTAGAATCTACATAAACATTAAAAAAAACACATTAAGAGAAAAAGATATATTAAAGACAAAAAAATAAAATCACACAAGTAGTTAAAAACCTTAAAACATTAAAATCACACATGGGATTAAAATCATAAATAGCCATAGTCCATTAAAAATATTAAAGATAAAATCAAAGATACAATCATTCAGTTGTATTCACAGCTAAACAGAACTGTTTTCAGCCTAGATTTGAAAACTAAAATATATGTGTCTGTCAGGTCCTTACAGTGTCATTCATATAGCCAGCATGAAACATAAATGTAGACAGCCATACTGTCCACGCTACACGGAGCACTCAAAAAATCGAATCCATCCTTTTTTAGGATTGTTTTCCATTGAAGATATTGAGATATTGGGATATACGTTCTTTTGAAGAATAAGTAGCGCTGGTTTGTACTGAAGTGTAATATTATTTTAGATCAAATTTTTGCGCAACGCGGAAGATAATTTATTTTGGGAACAGATTGTGAACAATCACAGCGGACCACTGGCCCCCATTTTCTTGAGAAAATCTACAGGTCTCTCGTTTGCATACACAGACAGCTGAGGTAGACGAGCATCATGGCGGAGGCGAACCTGAAACTTCCAGTGTCTTCGTTACCGGTTGCTGCTTATACAGCATGAGTGGGAGGGGGTAGTGGGGGGGGAGCTTCGTGAGTGCGGGGAGGGGAGCAGAAAGAGCGAGGGCAGCACTCATATTCGAAACTGCTGCTTCAAAGTCACAAAGTGAGTTAGTCCAGCTTTCATTTTTATTACATTTCCCTCTAATCACTGGTAATTGTATGTAGTATATCGTCTAATTGACATGGTTTCTATTAGGGCTGCACGATGCATCAAAAAAATATTGTTCTTTGCGATATTGGTACGTGCGATATCCAAAATGCGCGATCATTTTTTGATATTTATGTACATGCATTTCTTGTACACCCACTGTGACAAATCGATTGCAACCTAGTGCCGCCACACGGTAGAGTGGAGCACGTGAAGAAACAAAACATGCATGGCGAATGATGAGACAAATGCAGACGAATTCAGAGAGGAACTTGTTTCCAAGAGACACTTTACCTCCGGAATTTGGCACTACTTTGGATTCAATTTACAAGACAGGACCAATCACAAAAAAAAGTAATTTGAAAGTCATGCTGAAAAATAGTCACTACATCGAAGGGAAACACGGCACATCTCCAGAGCCACCTCCAGCTTAACCACAAGGTACTTGTGGTTAAGCTGGAGGTATCTCAAACTCCTCAGCGTACAACGTCAAACGAAAGGCAAATGCCAAAACGAGCATTGATAACAGTTTTGCTTCTTTTGCTCCTTATGAGAACACTTTGAAGCGACACAAAGCTTTAACTGCAAAATTTGTATGCAAAGTGCACACTCTTAATCTTTAATACTGTATGTATGGAATTGGCTACTTTAGGCAAGATTTGAGTGTGAGATGTGTGCCATACTGCATTCGAATAATTAATTTTGTGCCTAAATGTTGTTAGGCACAAAATTGCAAGAGAAAAATCTCTTGCCGTTCAATGCAGATTGCATTTTTATGAAAAAAATATTGCAATAATATCATTATCGAAAGACTAAACACCCATATCAAATACTGTTCTAATTTCCAAGACTGTGCAGCCCTAGTTTCTATTTCCAAATTAACATAATTGAGCCGATGTGTGGAGAGGTCAAAAGTGCCGTTCATGATCAATTTACATTAACTAAAGGCGTTTTGCCATGAAGATTGGGTAGCTCTAAAATCAGAGATGATAAAGGACCTTGTTCACAACTACTGCAAAATACTCTCATACTGTAGATGAGATAGATATTTAAGAGGTGGTATCATTCACAATATCCAAATGTGGGAAATTTAAAAAAAAAAAATCTGTCTGAGTGTGCAAACTTTGAAGCAACAATTATATGACCTGTATGAAGTTTTCTACTGTAGATTCATGAGCTGTTGAAAACCTCAGAATTAGTGTTGTCAGTTAAACGCGGTAATAACGGCATTAAAGAAAACCAATTTAAAAGCATTCCAAACTAAGTTGATTGTTTCTGATGACGACAGAGCTGGAGAGGAAGATGTCGACGCGGCGTACACGGCAGGAGCTCATAGACCAGGGAGTGCTGAAGGAAGTCCTGGACAATGGTAAGAGTGTTCTGTAAATCATCTGATAACAATCACAAACACTGTCCCTTTGAGCCCTCCTCCCACACAGTCAAGTCATCAGTGCATGCAAGCAGGTACACTGTAAAGGCTAGATAATGCTTAGAAAGTACATTTCACTCCTCACCCCAACTATGTGAAAATGGCACAGCAATCTCATAAGAGCTGAGGAAAAGTGGAACAATCTGTGCCCTGCAGCGAAACAGCTCTAAGAGAACTGACCCTCTGCACAAGCTGCTTCTCCACACCTAAAACTGGCTTGTGTCACAGCTCATCTCAGTATACATGCAGACTCAGACTGCTCTTGTCTGAGACTCAGACAACTCTTGTCTCAATGTTTTCGATTGACCTCGGCCTACTTTGTGAAACTGTGTCTCTGATTTACCTTAGTAATTAAATTCAATTAAATTCATTTTTTTCTTGTATAGGCCTAAATCACAACAGTAGTTAAATAGGACGGCATCTTGGATCGCCGGGGCTTGGCTTAAACTCGTTAGCATCAAAGCCACCCACCATTGCCCTGAATCTTCCAATTTTCATGATTAGTTTAGCATGTTGGGTGATTTTTTATTTTATTTTGAAAGACTAAAACAAAGTAACAGACAACTGTGGGATATTGTAAAATATACAACAATGAAAAGGGGGGCTTGCAAGTATTGATACAGAATGAGTTAATGCATTATGGAACTCTCTTTTGTCAAGTCTTTTGAGGTATGACTCTACAAGATTTGCGTTTGTTGTCACAGATGCTGTACAGGGGAAGCCGCCGCAGGTGAAGAATGGCCACACTCTGCCGGTCAGCACTGGGGTCAGCACGGATCATGGTGGTAGGAGTCCAGGGAAGCTGGAGCCAGACTTCAGGAGTGCTCCGCCCTGGCTGCCTCAGACTGAAGCTCTGGGCTCTCGGCTGGCTGGGCTTGGGCTGGGTGGAGGGGCCAGGACATATGCGGAGAGTGACTGGAAGCCTAATCTGGTCTGGCAGGGTCACAGTGGCCTGGAGGAGGGCAGGCGTGTAGGCCGGCCGCACCATGACCCTGAGCAGAAGCGGCCCGGGCTGCAGAAGGTCATGTCTGAAGATGGGAGAAGGACGAGGGAAGTGGAGTGGAAACCAACTCTGCCCCGGCATGCTTCGGCAGAGGAGGGCCGCACCCGCAGAGGTATATTTACATCAAACAACTATAATATCATAATAATGTGACTGCCAACGGTTTTTCCTGGTCAGAACCCCTGTAACTATTTATCCATTGCAACACCTGGGGCAACACCTCTTCAGATAGGTGTCCAAGAGGCACCTGAAAGATATGCCCGGGCTCCACTCAATATGGAGCTCCTCACGCTATCTCTTGAAGCGCCCAGCCACTTGAGGACACTCCAGTGGACAATTCAATTCTATTAATTCAATTAAATGTCTTCTTGTATAGCCCTAAATCACAACAGTAGTTATCTCGAAGGACTTTACAAAACCGTTGAATTTGCCAACACAGATCAGACAATCAAACAGGTTGTCAACAACCTCAGTGACTTCAGCCTGACTACCCTTACCACCGAACACAACCAACGGGTTTCGGGGGTTGCCGCCGGGACCAGCACCAGAGACTTTTCAACCACTGTGATGAGCAGCTGCATCATAATCAAACTGAGACTTAGAGAAATTGTCTCATATTTATAAGCATATTTATTTGACTCAAACGCAGAGTTTGAGTCAAATCCTAAACATATCCATCTTAAGCTCATAGTGCACCAACCCGCTGCCCACCATTATTAAGATTATTAAGAACTGCAGAACAAACCAACCCGAGCCCATCCCTGACAGCACAATCCAGAGGAAAGTTCTGTGGATCTGTTGTCCCCTGCCATTCAGACTAGCTATTTCAGATTCAGATTCAGGTTCATTTTATTAGCCATGTGCAGTATAAAAACTACATTGGAATACATTCGCAAAAAAGGTTCTGTGTCCACCGACAGAATAAAGAGCACGATACAATGTAATATAAAATACACATACACTGAAAATAAAAGAATAAAAAAAAAAAACAGCTGACACTGTGGCACCGATCAACAAAAACGATACAAGGGGTAAAAGCAGGGACTAAAGTGCTCTTTTTAGGCACCTAACAGCCTGTTGAAAGAAGCTGTTAGCATAGCAAGATGTCCTGCATCTCAGCGACCGATATCTTCTGCCAGAGGGAAGAAGCTGGAACATGGCTTTCCCAGGGTGGCCAGAAGAGTCGTTGATGATTTTAAGAGCTCTGTTTTAAAGTCTGGATTCATAAAGAACCTCCAGAACAGGAAGCTTACAGCCCACGGTCCTCTTTGCAGAACGGAGCACCTTGTTTAAAGCTCTCTTTTCTTTATCTGTGATGTTACCGAACCACACAGTCACACAACCAACAAGTAAACTCTCAATGGTGCAATTTGTTAGTAATAGAAACAGATAATTAGCCAACATTTCTGTTGGAACATCATTTCAACCAAGTCTATCTGGACACAGTTGGGACATAAACAACCAGACAACTGAAAAACCAGTGACAATGGCGTTTTCTTGTAGATCGATTTCACGCTGAGTGGTGTTATAGGTGGCAGACTGCCATGTCCCTTCTATACAGGGACTGTCACAAACTGCCATCTGCGGGCTCTAGGCAAAATGTATAAAGAGAGTTTGCCACAAACAAGATTGTAAGAGAATAAACAGGGGGCTTTTTGCCACCTGAAATCAATATTACTGATGTCTGCTGCTGTAGTGACCAATTGGACCAATCCTTCAGTGGTGATGACTCAAAAGCAGAAAGACTGTCTCAACTGACAGAGACAGAGCTTTTGAATTGCTGTGTCCCAGCCCTAAAGCCTAGCGTACATCGACAGAGAAACTGGGGACAACTAGTTGCAAGGCGGCTTTTGGCAACTGAGAGGAGATGGTGGGAGATGATCAGTTGCCGAAATCGGTCGATGTGCGCGCTCTTACAACTGGAGATGATCAGTCGGTCTCCAGTTTCAGTCAGTTGCCCGTGTTCTTCTTTTCGGCAACTAGTTGTCCTCAGTTTCGGAGATATGACCCGATGTGCGCGCTCCAGCCGCCGCTCCGACAACGTGTGTGTATTGCGTGTATTGCGAGCCCGCAACAGTTTATGTCAGAAAACACACTGTAGTTGAGGCCAGTTGCTGTCGATGTACGCGCTGTTATTCCCGAGACTGGTCTGCTACTGGGAGTTGCCCGTTTTCGTCAGATTGTCGATGTGTGCGGGGCAGCAACTCGTATGCGACGGATATAATCAGTTGCCAGTCCGATGTACGCTAAGCTTAATGTGTCATGTGGGGGTGTACTGAGTGGCAGATCTTCGGGACACTCTCTTTCTCAGTAGTTGTTGGCTGATTCTGTCCTGACATATTTAGCCCAGTGTCTGCAGCTCTCCAGGGCCCTGTTCCAGCTCAGTTCTATTCAGAAACATGAGGGAATAACTCACCCTCTCTTCCTAATTAATGTAACACTGCATTTATGTCCATAATGGCTCAAAACGCCAGCACTGTCATTGCGCTCATCCTCAAGCCTTTCCAACAAAGAGCCTCAATGATGTAATGGTTTTCATTCATTAGTTTTAAATAATTACCTTTTTTCCCCATTAATAACAAGTCAACAGAAAGAGTGTTCTCAAAGTAAAATGTTGAGATTAAATTAGGGATGGCAAAATTATTGCGTTAATTAATTTTTGTCATTAATCGATCTAAAAAAAATTACGTATTTGACAAATGTGCCGAATGACCCGCCCATGCATTCCATAATAACACCCAGAAGTGCCCTGGACAAATGCGTGTGTAAGATGGCGATAGAGCATGTAGGCGCTCTGGGTGGGGAATTCACGTTTAAAAAGAATACAGACGGAACAATAAATAAGCAGGTAGTGGTTTGCACTCATTGCGAGAAGGAGTTCCAGTTCTACCGCAGAAAGTCAACCCTAAAGTAGCATCGAGAGGCTAAGCATGCGTTTGTTGGGGCTTCTAGTTTCAGTGCTCAACCTGGCTTGCGGCAGACCACGTTAACTGAATGCAGGCCAATTAGCAAACTCATCATAGAGAAATTAAAGGAGCTATACACGTTTCTGCAAGGTTTTTTTTTTCAGTTTGAATGTTTAGCACCGCCCCCCAACTCGCTCACAGGCTTCTCTCTCCCCTACGCTCTCCTCCCACAGAGCCATCTAGTTTTAGTATTGATCTGATAGACATTAGTTAGCATTAGCACAACTTCTTTTAAGCTGTACTGCAATCACTGATTAAATGATACAAAAGCAACGCACTGCTAACAAAAGAAGCAGTACAATAACTGAAAGATTACAGCCAGTTTTGCGTCCGAGGCGGTCCCGTTCTCGCATGTCTCTTCAGCGAGGATATTATGTAAGCTACCTATATTCACCCGGGCATGATTTCTTCTTTGAACTTTTTTTGCTTTAGTTCCCTCTTCTCCTCTTCACTGTTGCGTCTTATGGGCTGTTTTGCTGTGTATGCAGTTACAGCCAGAGTAGGTAGAGCCACTTTCAGCTGTCATGCTGTTCTGTTTACCTGCACTGCAGACGCTAGAGGAGGCGGCCTGTTTGCAACAGCGCCGCTCCTCGTTGTGTAAGTGGAGGAGAACGAGCGTCATGCAAGGTTTCTACTCAGCACTTTGCATGGCATAAATTCATACACAAGCTAAATCAATTAGCTCAATTTTTCAATTAAATTACGGGTTTTATTGCAACTAGTATGTAGTAATACGCATTTTTTTTAACTCATTAGAAAATAAATCCGGTATAGTTCCTTGCCGAGTGGGTTTCAATCAAGCCCCGGCGATCCAAGATGGCGCCGTATTCAAGCGAATGGTTGTGCTCAGTGGCGCTTTGTGCCGGCGCGGTCGCTGACATATTAGCGGAACTCGCCTGGAACTCGCAAAGATCCATGGGGAACTCGCCTGTATTTGGGCATTGTCTGGTCCTCCCAGGTCTGCGCAGTGGATTATCTCCCATGATGCGTTGTGCCAAATATGCGTGTGTGGGTCTCATGCAGGAGCACAGAGGGGCTCAGCTCGCTCTGACCAATCAGAGCTGCTCATCAGAGCGGGAGTTAGAGCGAGAGCCAGACGAACAGAGTTTGTGGCAGTAAAGTGTGGATTTAAAGAAAACCGAAGGATTTAAGAAGAAAAAAAGTTCAGGATGACAAGGGACACTAAAATCCCCACAAAATCCGACCTTTATGAAAGCTGTAGGTTCTCTGTCAGCTGAGGTCGAGCTGTTTTAATTTACATTGAGTTCGATGGGGAAAATTTCTGGGTAACCAACGTGAATTTAGTCTTGTTTAGTCTGCAGTACCGCGAGAATCCCCTGAGCACATGAGTTATTCAGCTATAAACTATCCAGTTATTATAATAGATCCATGGTTTCAATGGACTGTAGACCGTGTTAGTGAACAAGAGGCCCCCTTTTTTCTTTTTTTAGAGGAAAAAATACTGTCTACTTCAGAAAGACATAATGTCATTGAAATTTTATGTGGATGTATTGTTGTTATAATAAACAAATACATACACAGTACATATTTACACTAGGTTTTCATTTATCTTTCCATTCAAACAACCATTTACAGAAAGTATGGCATAAGTTTTATCTGTTGTTTACTTGTGGGTCACTATGCTTTAGGCTGAGAGCTGAAAGGCTGGGTTTGGGTGGTCCTCTCTTTCACTTTTGAAGAGGTCTCCATGCAATTTAATAAAAATGAAAGTCCCAAACTGTTTTAGAGCTAGAATGTGTAGTTTGAATATACTCTAAAACAAACAAAAACAACAGACAACAAAACATATATTGGGAATAATGGTTTTGACATATTTATGGGTTAAAGCAATCAATCTAGCTAGCAGCTCTCAATCCAAGCAATATCGGTTTAACCAACCATGTTTTTTTAAGGTTTTTAAGAATTTTGCAAGGTATAAGTATCTGTCTTTTTCTTCCACAGACACAGATAGCCCTTTTGCCCAGCAGCCTGATGTCCACCCTGCCTTCCGGGAGCCTCCCAAACATGCTGTGATGTCTCCTCCCAAGTGGCTGATGAGCTCCACTCCCGACCCGGGTAGCGAGGGCTCACACCAGGCCTCCTCCTCTGGGCAGTTCCCCTCTCCACACCAGACATCCTCCTCTGGGCAGTTCCCCTCTCCACACCAGACATCCTCCTCTGGACAGTTCCCCTCTCCACACCAGACCTCCTCCTCTGGACAGTTCGCCTCTCCACACCAGACCTCCTCCTCTGGACAGTTCTCATCTCCACACCAAACCTCCTCCTCTGGACAGTTCTCATCTCCACACCAAACCTCCTCCTCTGGACAGTTCGCCTCTCCACACCAGACCTCCTCCTCTGGACAGTTCTCATCTCCACACCAAACCTCCTCCTCTGGACAGTTCTCATCTCCACACCAAACCTCCTCCTCTGGACAGTTCTCTTCTCCTCATCAAGGTTCATCCTCTGGCCAGTTCCCATCTCCGCACCAGAACTCCTCCTCTGGACAGTTCCCCTCTTCGCACCAGTTCTCCTCTGCTGGTCACTTCACCTCTCCATCCACTGGTCACACCTCCAAACCTGTTCGGTCCGTGTCCTCCGCGGGCGTCTCTGCACAGCTCCCTCCAATCAGCAGCTTGTCCCAGGGCATAAAGCAGCCGCCTCTGCCTCCCCCCAAACCCGTCAACAGGGGCAATGCTGCAATGCTCGGTAAGTGAAAATATTGTTGTTTTCAAGCAGTTCTTGACTGTGTTAATCATCCAGAACCAGGCTATTCAACTTTGCGCATTATTTCTGTCAGGGTTTTGTTATCGATCTGTCTGTTAGTTTGTGATTTATTAAGTTAGCAAGATCATTCTAAAAGCTTTACACATTTTTGCTAAGAAATGGAATAAGAAACTTCTGATCTGATACAAATCATTGATAGTTGCACGACAGGAGTTGAAATATTTAAAAGTAGATAAAAACCCCAAAGAGTGGGTAATGAGTTAATTGAAAGCTAAAGCATATAAAAAATGGTTTTAGTGTTGTTTTAAAAATGTTGAGGGGGCCGGAGTTTATAATGTCAAAAGGGAGAGAGTTCCATGTTTTGGGGAATAATTAGCAAAAGCTCCTTTGTGCTTTCAAATACAGAGTACTATCTTACGTATATTTTCTACTTAAGAAATGATTTCACTAAAACACATGATGTTAAATATTATTTTTGTTCAGTATCCATGTTTTGAGTCATCATCTTTGAAGACGTGAGATTTTTGATATTTTCTTTCTAAAATGATAAAGCTTCTTCTCCATGGGCTAATCGAGGCTCCGCCAATACAGACATTCTATACCGCGTTATAAAGCTTAGAATCTTTAATCCATTCTTTGAGTTTACCAACATTTATTTGTGACTATGACACAACATTCCATGTAAGGTGATAATGTAGCAAACATCTGTCATTCACCCATCTTCAGCTCCTTCACATGTTAAAGCTCAGAACAGCCTGAATTCAGTCACAAAGGTAGAACTTCGGGGGCCCTCTTTGGACACACCTTCTGTAGTTTGTTCCGTATAGCAAAACATTACCTAATTCTGTTGTTTATTTTCTTCTGGATAAATAAAATCAATTTTTCGCCGGGATGATCCTATTTTATGGTACTTGAATCAAATATATAAAGTACTTTCCATATCATAGTTGAATGCAATCATTTCTTGAAGCAATATATAGTCCATCATAATGATTTATTGTGACAGGCCTAATCATGATGTTCCAAACATCATTTGTTTGCATTTCCTCATTTTTTCTTAAAGTATGATGTATTTTTCCTGTGGCAAAAACACAATGTACATTTCTGAATCAGTGCTCAGCTGACAGTTTGGAACACACTTGTGCTAATGATGTGATTTAAGCAGCTTGTGCCAACATTCCCCTGTTAATTACTCACCCATTTCAGCTGGTTTTCTCCTGCGGCTGGATGTTGGTGTTTGCACTGATTCACTAAACAACTGCATGTAAATGTGGGACGGTTCATTTGTTACTGTTGTCCCCTGATTGAATATCACCAGAACAAGATTTACCATGTACAGTCAGTTGGACCAATGACAGACCATGAAAGGTCTTTCATGGCCCTCTACCTTTCATTTATTGTAGACTTCAAAGGGTATACAATTCGGATGGATAGGGAGAAGCCACTTCACCATACAGTTACAACAACTTTTACGCACAAACATTGCTTATACAAAATCCACTGATATCTTCACAAAACAGACACACTGTGGGGCAGAAAAGTATTTAGTGTCAATGTCAAGTTTATTTCTATAGCACATTTACAACAACAACCGCTGTCCAAAGTGCTGCACAGTATAATACACAATACAAAAAAGGCTATAGTAAAAACAGATCAACAGATATTATAACAGTGCAACGCCTCTTAGTTGCCAAAGGCCAGAGTAAAAAGATGAGTCTTTAATAAAGATTTAAAAACATTTAAAGAAGCTGCGCTTCAAATAGACATTGTCCTGGCTGGTTTGGCTGTTCCAGAGTTTAGGAGCAGCTACAGATCTGTCTTGAGGGAGTGTAAGGGGACAGCATCTCGGACAGGTAGGCTGGGGCCAGACCCTTTAGACATTTAAAAACCAGAAGCAGCATTTTAAAGTCGATACAATAGCTGACAGGGAGCCAGTGCAGAGACGACAGAACAGGTGTGATGTGTTCTCTACGCCTGGTCCCTGTCAGCAAACGAGCGGCCGAATTTTGTACGAGCTGCAAACGGTTAGACGGCAGATGACTGGTCTAGACTACAGTACAAAGAATTGCAATAGTCGAGACGAGACAATATGAACATGAGCACAACACGCTCAAACTTATCAAAGAGAAGATCAGCTTTCACTTTGCTATGGACCCACAGTTGAAAATAGTGTGTCCAGCTTAAAGCAGTCGTCCATTAGAAAACCAAGATTCTTATCCATCGTCTGAGAATGTGGAGCTAATGGGCCAAGGACATCATTGGTGGAACCAGAAGAATTGGAATTGTCAAACACAACAATTTCGGTTTTACTTTCATTAAGTTTAAGAAAGTTAAGGGCTAACCATATTTGAACATCCTGGAGACACTGCAACAGGGCAGGAGTGCTGGCTGATTTAAGAGGCAAATATATCTGCAGATCATCTGGAAAGCAGTGGAAGGGGATTTTGTACTTCATAAAAATGCCTCCAAGAGGTAAAATACAGTGCCTTGCGAAAGTATTCGGCCCCCTTGAACCTTTCAACATTTTGCCACATTTCAGGCTTCAAACATAAAGATATAACATTTTAATTTTTTGTCATGAATCAACAACAAGTGGGACACAATCGTGAAGTGGAACGAAATTTATTGGATAATTTAAACTTTAAAAAAAATAAAAAACTGAAAAGTGGGGCGTGCAATATTATTCGGCCCCTTTACTTTCAGTGCAGCAAACTCACTCCAGACGTTCAGTGAGGATCTTTGAATGATCCAATGTTGTCCTAAATGACTGATGATGATAAATAGAATGCACCTGTGTGTAATCAAGTCTCCGTATAAATGCACCTGCTCTTTGATAGTCTCAGGGTTCTGTTTAAAGCGCAGAGAGAACCATGAAGACAAAGGAACACACCAGGCAGGTCCGAGATACTGTTGTGGAGAAGTTTAAAGCCGGATTTGGATACAAAAAGATTTCCCAAGCTTTAAACATCTCAAGGAGCACTGTGCAAGCAATTATATTGAAATGGAAGGAGTATCAGACCACTGCAAATCTACCAAGACCCGGCCGTCCCTCCAAACTTTCATCTCAAACAAGGAGAAGACTGATCAGAGATGCAGCCAAGAGGCCCATGATCGCTCTGGATGAACTGCAGATAACTACAGCTGAGGTGGGAGAGTCTGTCCATAGGACAACAATCAGTCGTGCACTGCACAAATCTGGCCTTTATGGAAGAATGGCCATTTCTCAAAGATATCCAATAAAAGTCTCTTAAAGTTTGCCACAAGCCACCTGGGAGACACACCAAACATGTGGAAGAAGGTGCTCTGGTCAGATGAAACCAAAATCAAACTTTTTGGCCACAATGCAAAACGATATGTTTGGCATAAAAGCAACACAGCTCATCACCCTGGACACACCATCCCCACCTCAGCAGTAGTTATCTGCAGTTCATCCAGAGTGATCATTGGCCTCTTGGCTGCATCTCTGATCAGTCTTCTCCTAGTTTGAGATGAAAGTTTGGAGGGACGGCCGGGTCTTGGTAGATTTGCAGTGGTCTGATACTCCTTCCATTTCAATATAATTGCTTGCACAGTGCTCCTTGAGATGTTCAAAGCTTGGGAAATCTTTTTGTATCCAAATCCGGCTTTAAACTTCTCCACAACAGTATCTCGGACCTGCCTGGTGTGTTCCTTTGTCTTTATGGTTCTCTCTGCGCTTTAAACAGAACCCTGAGACTATCAAAGAGCAGGTGCATTTATACGGAGACTTGATTACACACAGGTGCATTCTATTTATCATCATCAGTCATTTAGGACAACATTGGATCATTCAAAGATCCTCACTGAACTTTCTGGAGTGAGTTTGCTGCACTGAAAGTAAAGGGGCCGAATAATATTGCACGCCCCACTTTTCAGTTTTTTATTTGTTAAAAAAGTTTAAATTATCCAACAAATTTCATTCCACTTCACGATTGTGTCCCACTTGTTGTTGATTCATGACAAAAAATTAAAATTTTATATCTTTATGTTTGAAGCCTGAAATATGGCGAAATGTTGAAAGGTTCAAGGGGGCCGAATACTTTCGCAAGGCACTGTATACAGTGAAGACAAAACAGGACCTAAAACCGCGTCTTGTGGAACTTCACTGGTCAGAGGAGCCGTACTAGAGGAGTGAGGCCCCAGATGTACAGAGAAGGACCTGTTCTCCAAATAGGACATGAATCTCTGTAGAATGGTGCCTTTAAGGCTGACATATTGTTCCAGACTAGATATTAAAATGTTTTGATCAGCCACCAATTTTGCAAGATGAGGGAGGCCTGTAACTTTAATCATAGGTATACCACAGCTATGAGAGACAGAATGTGGAAAAAAAAAAACATTTTTTAAATCACATTATCTGAATGTGAAGGAATTTATTTGCAAATTATGGTGGAAAATAGGTATTTGTTCAAAAACAAAAGTTAATCTCTATACTTTGTTATATACCCTTTGTTTGCAATGACAGAGCTCAAACATTTTCTGTTGGTCTTCACACACTGTAGCTGGTATTTTAGCCCATTCCTCCATGCAGTGCTTCTCTAGAGCAGTGATGTTTTGGGGCTGTCCTTGGGCAACACAGACTTTGAACTCACTTTGCAGACGATATTTGAAACATGTCCTTATGCACACTCTGGCCCAAGTCATATTCCTTTATGAGCCATAAGCTACAAACGGGTTAGTCTGCTTTTACTCTGTCTCTAGAATGAGATATTATGCCAAAAAGCATTTTGTTGCTAAAATCATTACATCAGAGCAACGTAATTTGGCTTCCACTTTCTGCTTCTGATTGGTTTCCTCACACAGAGACATTTTTCCATCAAACCAAGGCTCTTTAGTAGCCTGGCTAACAGCAAACTATATATCACAAGTGTGGGAATCATCCGTTCATGTTCTCGAAGGGAAGATGTGGTGAGATTTACAATTGTCCTTAGCCTAATTGTTACTTCAAGTTTTGCAAGTGAAAC